GTTCTCTCTTCTGCCTCTCCCTTACCTACAGAAGGACTATTCTGATTCCTTTGGTTCTCCTGGATAATCCAGGACAAGCTCCCTATTTTTAAGGTCAGCCGGTGATCAACCCTGATTTCCTCTGCTTCCTCAACCTCCTTTTCTGAGTATGAACATGCATCCTTGCAGGTCTGGGAGTGGACATGAACGACTTTGGGGACCATCATTCTGCCGGCCACATGCACCCCATCTAATGATCTCAACAGTCATGAATGTAGGCACAATCAGCATCCTCATTGTACAGATGAGGAAACCGAGGCTCATGGTCACTTAGGGCCACTCACCTTGAAGGTGGCAAAGCCAAGTCTCGAAGCCACTGGGTCAGACTCCAGATTTTGGCTCAGATGCAGTGATGAAAACACCAGCCCTAGGTAGCCAGAGAGTGTTCCTGGGGCTCCAGCCAGGGGGTCGGGCCTTCCTGCATCTGAGTAGAAGGAACTAGAAAGAACACAAGGATGAGTGGGCAAAGCCCCAGGGAGCTCTCCTCCCCACTGTGGGCACAGCATTCTCTGTAAAGCAAGTGCCCAAGCTGGGAAGAGGGAGCAGAGCAGCCTGAGGAGTATATGGACAGGTAGGAAGGGCCTGGACAGGCTGCTTCTGCTAACAGAGACCCTGGGGACTGGGCACAGTGCTTACAGTGGTACTCACAGGTCATGCAAATGGCAGGTGGGGCACAGGAAACCTGGGAGACTGGCAGTGTAGAGCAGGAGAAGCACAACTGTCCCAAAGGTGCTGGGTCCAATGGACACCCGTGGCCTGAGCTGGTTCCTGCAGAGTCACCTGAAAGCAGGTGGGTCTCAGGTGCATGAAAAGCCCTGGAACTTGAGTAAAGTGCCTGCTTGAATGGGGGAGGAGCCAGCACCCACTCCAGCCTCCAGGCAGACAGTGGGGCACATGGGTTGATAAATGTATGGCTACTGAGTGAGACCATCAGCAGAAGCAGAGCTTGGAGGAAACACATGATTTCAAAGGGCCTGTTTCAGATCAGCCAGTGCTGGGCTGAAGCTCGATTGGGCCAGAGGTTCTGAGCATTTTACTTGCAGGAGGTGAAGAAAGCCCTGATGTCCAGGATCTAGAAGGAGAGATGAGGAAAGACCAGGGGTGGAGTGACGAGTGGGGAGAGTGGGGGAGGGGAGGGCAGCCAGAGCAGCAAGCATGGAGTCTGCAGGATTTGGGTCTGCAGAGGGGGCAGCACCAGAACCCTGGACTCAGACTCCACACAGCACCTCCCTGAGTCCGGGTGGCCAGTGACACATCTGTTTGGAACTGGGAGGGCCCTGGTTCCCAGGTCTCTGGACTTACAATTTTAAAACCAGGAAAAGGAGTGTGAGGTGGTCTCCTCAATCCAACAGGACCATCCCTGCTCTCCCAGGAGGGACCACCCTGTCTGTGAAACTGTCAAGGACTCTGTGGCTGATTCTTTTCCACCCTCAGCCAAGCACACACACATCACAGTCATGAGCCAATGGCCTCAGGGGAAAGGCAGAGGGTAGAGCCTCTATGCTGGGGCATCCTTTGTACACCCGGCCTCCAGCTGGCCTCCATGCAGACGGGATGAGCCTGTGCTTGCTGAGTAATCTCTGCTCAGTTTGGAGAGCAGACACACATCATATGATGTTCCCAGCAGCCATCAGCATAGAGACTGCGCTGTCTGCACTTTGTAGATGAGGAAACAGGCTCAGCTGAGCTGCATTTACCTTATCAGAGCCCACAGTCAGGACATGGTGGAACTAGGACTCAAAGCCCCCTCCTCCAACCCCATGCACCCTGTGGTCCTCTGGTGGTCCCGTGCAGTTGTATGGTGAACTCACGGCAGCCACTCCCTCTTCTGGTTCTTCCACCAGACCACAGCCCCCAATTCCAGAAAGCTGGCATCCTGGGACTACAAGAGACACAGATGCTCATATTAAGACTTGAGGGACTTCAACTCGATTCTGGGATCTGCCAGCAACCGGAGATGCCTCGAGCACAGTCAGGCACCAGGGAGAAGGGCCCCTCCCCCTCCCATACACACATGTGTTGTTTGCACTATTTTTCAGAAAACCAAAACCATGCCTATCACTGGCTACATCCAGAAACACAGACCACTGTCAGTGGATCTTGGCCCTCAGTGTACATGGGGATGGGCCAGCTCCAGCATTTGAAGTGTGAGTACAGGCAGGGTCCCCACTGCTCTCCAGCAGGCCTGGAGCACCTCACACTGAACACCCAGAGCTCTGCTCACCCACAGCTGTGCCAGGTTTCAGTATGTCACTGTGCTGCATTGTTGGCCCATCAAGGCTGAGTCACAAATGGGCACAACAGGACCTGGGCTTGGCCCTTCTGAGAACTGCTCACTGACACTTTCTTCAAAGAAGCAGCTGTTAGGAAGTGTTCCTGTGAAGGAAATAGGGAGAGAAGAGGCAAACAACGTAGAATTAAAGGTTCTGCTGCAGCTCGGCTCAGAGCAGGAAGAACAATCAGAGACGGCCCAGAGGCATGGTCACCAGGGAGCCCCTTGCACTTTGTGCAGGACAAGCCTCCCACCCCCAGGTGTAGTTTTCCAGGGTGGTTTTAAGCAAGTGCCTTGTCATAATATTTGTGTTAAGTTGCCATTTATGACTTTTTAAGCTCCCAGGCTAGCTCAGAAAGAAAGCTTTGAAAAGAAGACCAGCTTAGCCAAAAGGTCAGGGGTTGGAAAACCAAACAGTGGGCTCAAGCAGCCAGGGGGAACAGTTTCTTGACAGCCTCTCATGCAGCTGCAGTTCCTGGCTGGCAAAGGGACAGACCCCAGTGGCCACAGGTTATGGTCTTCTTCTAAGATGGCCAGATGGCACCATTGGAGATCGCAGGTGACAGCAGGCAGCATGAGGCAGTGAGTGGTGGGCCTGACATGGCCCAGCACCACCATTTTCTAGTGTACTGTGGACACTCAGGTCCCAGACCCAAACCTGCTCACTTAGCTGGTGGGTAACATCTTCCAGAACTGATGTGAGGGAGTTTTTAAGCTGAGCTTTGTAGGACTGGCCACACTGCCTCGCACTGTAAAGTCGGCATGATATCCATTCCACAACCTTTGCTCCCAGGAGACCTATCATACCCACCCTGTCCCAGGAAGCATTGAGTCAGCTGTTCTACAAATGACCAAGCTGAGGCTCAGAGAAGCAATGAAACTTGCTCAAATACTGAAGGCCACCATTCAAACCCTACCAGTCAGCCTCTGAACCCTCTGTGTTGGCTTCTAGCAAAGGGATGTTTGTGTTTCCTTTGAGGACAAAATGTTTAAGCTCAGAACTTGATGTACCACTTCTCCCTGGGAGCATGTCAGGTTTTGGTTGAATAAGCAAGCCCGAAATCAGGCCGAGAATAGAAGACTGAGTATAGACCCACCCAGTCATCAGCTCTGTAGCTTCCTCTTCTCCCTGCTGGCGAGGTCTGGGCCAGGTTTCCTTGCCTCACACTCCTTTCTCTCTATATCCTGTGACCCACCCCTCCAAACCACTCAGGTCTCTTGTTCCCAGCATAGCAGGTGCAGCCAGCTGCGACCATGCAGGGTTGGACAAGTCTCTGAGGGCAGTGACTCCTGAGCTGGTCCTCCTGCCCTGGATACCCCAAGATCAGTATCAGTTGTTGGGAGGAGGGGAACAGGGGAGGTGTCGAGGAGGGCACAGTGGAAAGACAGAGGTATGTGCCCTGGGCCAAGCCTGGATCACTTGCTAGAGTCCCCTCCAGGGGAAGGACCTGGGGAAACTTGAACCCTCTGGTGTGTCAAGTCAGGGACAGGGTGCCCTGGGCAAAGCTCAGACAGACTGAGTGTGCCTAGGCTACTGTATTTCCTACAGGGACAGATGCCTTCCTGCATCACACACAACCCTAGCCTGCCCCTCCTCAGCCATGTATGGCATGCAGAGTGATTTCTGGTGACCAAATCCAGGCAGCAACAAGGGGCTCATTCACACCCAGGGTAGCACAAGACCGCCCCAGGTGCTGGCCCAGGGCTAGAGCATGGAGAGCAGTGCCCCGTGTCCTGCTCTCTGCTCCCTCTCATTCTGACTGAGCAGGCCCACAGCCTCCTGGGTGCTCAGCTTCTGGCGCCCTGCAGGCACCCAGGAGGGAGCGACCCAGCCAGCTGTGCAGAGGCCCTGACATGCCAGCGGGAGGTCTTCTCCTGCCCGCCCTCTCCATTGTACCCCCACCCCCAGCCCTGAGTGAGCTGGAGGGGACTGGGGGCAGCTCCCTTCCTGAGGACGGAAGAAATGGAGAAAACCCGGGAACCAGAGGTCGTGCTTTCTGGAGAAGGGTGGCTGGAAAGATCCATTGCCCCATCACCTCGTGACCTTCTTCAGAATCCTGGTTCCCTGGGGATTTCCCCTGAGAGTGCTCAGGGGCGACCACCTGTTTGTACCCGCGTGGGGAGGGGACACGACTGGAGCCGCCTCCCTCTGTCTCCACCGCTCCCCACTGCCGTGCGCGCCGCGCAGCCGCCAGCTCAGTGGAGGCGCGAGGAGCCGGGAGGGCGCGGGCGCGGCGGGAGGTGTGCGGGGCTGGGGTGCGCGGAGAGCGCTAGTCGGGAGAGCGAGAGCGAGTGCGCCCTGCTCGGTGCCACAGGCTCGCTCTGCGAAGCCTAAGCCCGGCTGGGCGCTGTCCTCGGGGGACCGCGCTGCTGCCCAGGGGCCCAGGGACCCGCAGAGTCTGGAGATCCGAGGCAGCCCCATTCGGGGCTAGGCGCATAGCTCGGAGGGAGCCGAAAGAACCGCGCAGTCTGGAGCAGGAACCCAGACCCGGGAATCCGGAGGTGAGCGGAGACTGGAGCTCCAGCGCTCCGGGGCGGCGCGGTCGCGGTTCGGTGCTCTCGGGCTGGACGGCGCGCCCCCTCGCCTTCCCGCACCTCATATCTGCACCCCATCCCCAGGCACGCCCACCCTCACTGGGACTTCCAGCCCCGGAGGCGCGGGACAAAGCCTCCCAGCCCGGCGCCGACCATGCGTCTCAACAGCTCCACGCAGCCCGACATCCCCTGCGCGCCAAGCGCAGACCCCTTCCCGCGGTCGCAGTCGGGACTGGAAGCGGTGCTTCGGGCCCCGGGCTTAGGCAACGGCTCCAACGATGAGTCGGAGCGCTTCCTCGCGGCGCCCAGCAGCGACCTGGACGTGAACACTGACATCTATTCCAAGGTGTTAGTGACTGCTGTGTACCTGGCCCTCTTCGTGGTGGGCACAGTGGGCAACTCGGTGACAGCGTTCACACTAGCGCGCAAGAAGTCACTGCAGAGCCTGCAGAGCACCGTGCACTACCACCTGGGTAGCCTGGCGCTGTCTGACCTGCTCATCCTGCTGCTGGCCATGCCCGTGGAGCTGTACAACTTCATCTGGGTGCACCACCCCTGGGCCTTTGGAGACGTTGTCTGCCGGGGCTACTACTTTCTGCGAGATGCCTGCACCTATGCCACAGCCTTCAATGTGGCCAGCCTGAGCGTGGAGCGCTACCTGGCCATCTGCCACCCCTTCAAGGCCAAGACCCTCATGTCCCGAAGCCGCACTAAGAAGTTTATCAGTAGCATCTGGCTGGCCTCTGGGCTATTGGCCGTGCCCATGCTCTTTGCCATGGGCCAACAGAACCTCAGCGCTGATGGCCAACACCCTGGCGGACTTGTGTGCACACCCATCGTGGACACAGCTACAGTGAAGGTCGTCATCCAGGTGAGAGCCTCTTCCTGATAGAAGGGCTGTGGGGTGGGGGCTGTGCTCAGGAACCACTTCCTCTTCCCTTCTCCCCACAGTTCCCCACCTCCATGCTGGGAACTGAGAAAGACCATTCCTATGAGGTTGGGGAGGATGGAGGTTCCTTGGGGGCAGCCTGACCCCCTTCTTCTCACCTTTCACCCTGCCTCATCGGCTCCTTCTGTCAGTTCCTCCCTGGGGTGCCAACTCCCTAGGACCTAGTGTCAGCCTTAGCATGCTCTCAAAGGGGGTGTCTCTTCAGCAGCTTCTCAAGAAGCTGTCGCCAAAAGCTGCACCCTGTCCTCTGTACAGAAGCCCTCTGGCTGGTCTCCCCCAGTGCCACCTGGCTGCCCTGCCCTGGCCTGGAGCTGGGAGTTGGTGCTGAACCCAAAGCTGTATTGGGCTGGTTTAGCAGTTTCCTGTCTGTGATGTGGAGTGACCATGACTTTGGCCTGAGAATGAAGAACGTTGCAGGGCGAGTGTGGAAGCACCAAACCTCTCACTGCTGCTGCTGCTGCTGCTGCTGCTGGTGCAGATGTGTCTGCTGGGAGTGAAGTGAGGTGTCTGGGCCAGGAGGTGAATAAAACTAGAGCCAAGTGTCTCAAGGTCCTCCTGCCAAGGGCTCCATAGGAGTTCAGCACTGGAGGGAGTTTGTCAGGCAAGCGTCCTGAGGTGGGAGGAGGGTATCTGCAGAGGAAATCTAGGCAGAAATAACACTCAAGCCGGGCATGGTGGTGCACATCTGTAATCCCAACAATTGGGAAGCTGGGAGGCAGGAGGATGATAAATTCAAGGCCTGCCTCAAGTTCAAGTTTGAGACAGGGTATGCAGTAAGACCCTGTCTCAAAAAAAAAAAAAACAAAAACAAAAGAGAGAGAGAGAGAAAGGGAGGGAGGGAGGAAGGAAGTTAGTTTAAGTAGTATCCTGGTCCTAGGACCTGAGCAGCTATGGAGATATGGGGTCTCTTCCACTCCGGGGTTGGTAAGCAAGGCAGAGAATGGAAGGGTCTAGGCAGGGTCTTTGCGCTATGCCTCATTAAAGGGGATACCAGGGCAGCTGGCTGCCCATTTGGCTGTCCCTTCTGCAGTCACCTCTGGAGCCCCAATATGATGCTGCCACTTCAGGGAGACAGCAGTGCCAGGATGGAGGCTGTTGTCTACCAGACTCTGAGCTGTGACAGTGTCTCCACCGGCCACTTCCGAAGTGGGCCAGTCCCCAAAACTGTGTAGAACTTGTGATACAGGTGTCCCCTCATGGGACTCTCCTGAACGGCCAGTCATTGGAAGCAGGGGGTGAGTCAGAGCTTGGCTTATTCCAGCAAGATCCCTCCCCACACCAGAGATGGAAGCAAACAGGGCGCCGTGTGTGGTAAACAGTAAGAAATCACGCTGAGGTCTCATTTTTCTTTCCCCAAGCTCCTGTCTTTGATCAGCTTTGCTGGGAGAAGGGCGGAGAGAGTCTAGCCTGTCCTGCCTCCTGAACATTTCACCTGACAGGTTGGGTCAGTGACTGCCTCCCAAAAGCCCCTGACTCTGGCCCCTGGCTGTCAGGAGAAATGTGGCTGTTTGCAATCATCATCAACAGAGCAGGGGAGGGGAGGACAGCTGGCCCTCATCCCCCAAGAAAGTGTCCCCTCTCTCCAGATTCCTGCAGCCCCTCTGTTAGGTCCACAAAATTGGACTCCTTTGAAACATCGCTTGACTCATAAAGTGCTGTCGTCTAGTCTCGTTGCTTGGCAGCTGTGAGGCCCATTTTGTTAGTTCCTGGTCATTTGTCCACTCAAGGATGCCTGTTGAGCATCAGCCCTGGGACAGTCTCCTTTCTGTATCAGATGTGGTGCTGGCCGAGCATTCACCAAGTGCTTGCTGCCTTCCTTGGCACACTTGGAGAATGTTACTCCCATTTTTCGTTAAAGGAGGGACGATTAGAAGGACAGTCTTCCAGAGGTAAGAGCTCTGACCAGGCTTCTCAGGGTCCAGACCACAAACTACTCGGAATGCTTGACAAGAAGGTTCCCACCTCCCCCTCCTTCCCGCACTGCCGCCAGCCATGTTAGGAGCGGTTTTGGGGGGAGGGTGTCATAATGGACCAGCTTTGGTCATTCTGGGTGAGCACCTCTGCTCTCAAACATCTGGCCTGAGGAGCTGGGCACCCTCATTCATGGTCGCCCTCCTGTTGTTCACATTTGGAAGTGTTGAAGTCTTGGCCAAAGTAGGGGTCTCCCAGCCAGCCCAAGCATCCCTCACAAGGTCTGCAGTCCTCACACTTAGGAGACTGCCCCAGGCACTTACAAGCAGAAGTTCTTTGAATTAGCTGAGTGTTGGTGGTAACACTTCTGAGTAACACAGAGCAGTCACCGAGGAAGAGATCAGGTGTTCTGAGAGCGTAGCCCGGGGAAGGGGCGGAGGAAGGGACAGAGGGCAGCAAGTGGGACCAGATGTCCAGCTTTCTCCCAATGGTCCCAGACCCCAGACAGCAAGGTAGAGGAGGAGCCAGAGGTTTGGGGACCTCAGGTGCTGGAAGATTCCTCGGAATTGTCACATGTCCCTGTCCACATGGATCAACCTCCAGCCATGTGTGGTCCTGCTGCAGCCCGGGCCAACCTACTGCTCTGACCTCAGGTGTCACAGCTCACTGTTTTTGGCCTTAGGGCTGGCAGTGGACTATAATTCAGGCAGGTCCTGTGTTCACAAACTCAGGGAGTGAGGACTGAATGTGTCCTGCATGGGGAGATGGACAAGCTGGGAACTAACAGTATAGAGGCTGGGAATTTGGGGTCTGGTTCAGGTTGATCTAGGTCAAGCTTGCTTCACCCCAACAGACCCCAGCCACAACCCAAGACCCAGAAACATCTGTCATGTACTCAGGGCAGTCACAGCGTGGCTGCCAGCTCTAACATCCAGGGCCATACCAGTCCATCCTGGGCTCCAGCCCTACCATCCTGGAAACAAGTTCTGAGGTGGGTACCAGTTGCAGAGGGAGAGGCATCTCTCCAGCCGTGTTCTGAGGCCTGGGGGACTGTGTCCACATACATGGTGTACACTCACAGAGACACACAGATACACTTGCTCCTGGAGGTGCATAAACATGCCTGTGAACACACAGACAGACACATATACGCACATAGAGAAGCACACACAGAAGCATGTGTACACACGGACACATGCACACACACATGGAGTCACACCCACGTATACTCAGAAACACACATGCACACAAACACGTGTGCAGTGACACACAGTGTGTGCCTGGCCGTGGTCCTGCGTGGCCTCCCGTCCTGTGGGAGGCTGTCTGCACAGCTCAGTAGACAGAAGGAGATCAGGGTTGGAGAAGGCTGTTGTCCCAAACCTAACCTTTCCCTCAAGAGCATGAGGGTCTGTGCCAGTGGGGCTGCAGAATATTGGGTGCTGTCCTTGAAGTGGGCCAGTGAAGGGATCAGAGTCCAGCCCCTGAGGCCATGGCTTGACTTCTCTAACCAGAGGCCTAGAGCAGAGACCCTGCAGGTCAGGGCGCCCCCGTCCTCTGCGCAGAGTGCACACAGGGGCTTTGAGCAGTCAAAGCCGGGTTCTCGGAGCCTCTGGCTCCCCTCCTGCACACTGAGGTGGGATGTTTTTGCAGCAAATTCAGTCAGTGTGCTTTTCCTCCTGAGAGTCTGTTTGCTGTGCTGGCAGGAATGGAAGGGTTGGAGCAGGCGCCCTGTACACAGCCATGCTCTGGACACTAGAAGGGTGGAGTGGGCTGGGGGAGGGCACTCAATTATAGTTGCATCCTTTCAAACTGTTTCCAGAAATCCCATGGTCACACACTAAAGTAAACTCTTGCCTGGCATGGTCAGGCACGAGGCCGGGCTGCAAGGGCTCCTTTCGTGGTCACTACTTCATTATCCGTGTTTTCAATGCCGAGGGACCCTGCTCCTGGATCTAGCCTCTGCCCCACTGTCTGCTTTCTCAGGAAGCATCTTTCTTAGCTGATGCAGAAGTGTTCCTCATTGGGGTTGTTCCTGACTTCAGAGGGAGCAGCAGCCTGGGTGGGGTGCAGGCTCCCTCCCAAGGGCAGGAGAGGCCAAGACCCGTGCAGGGGGAGGTGGTACCTGCAGCCACTGCCCGGGGTCCGTGAGAGATTGATGGTATGGTATGGTGATGTGGTCTCCAGGCCATTAAGGGTTGACAGGATCGCTAGGAGGGAGAGCAGCTGAGCCCTGCTTCCACAGGAAGAAAATTGGTTCCAATAAAGTCAGGCCGCGGATTACTTTCTCAGTGTTTCTGTGCTGCGCACAGAACGATGTCCAGCAACCCTCCACAAGCAGCATCCTTGTTCTTAGGAGGTCACAGAGCAGGGTGTCCGTGACTTCCTCGCAAATGGATGAGAGAGAAGTGTGGCCGAATTGTAGGAGAGTAGGTGGATGATATGTGTGGAGCAAAATTCCAGCAGGCGCTCAGGCAAAGCAGGTGGACTCGTTAGATCTGGAGAAAGGGTGGGGTTTCTGCTGTTGGGAATTTTTTCAAATTAAAAAGTTGCAAAAGAGACAGAGATGATTCCAAGGAGGCAACAATGGCCCTGCCCAGGCCTGACCTCCTCACAGAGGCAGGAAGGAGTCCTACATGGTGGGGTTCTGAGGCCGGGGGTTAGCAGACCTGACAGATGACTCCATAGTCATGATGCAGAGACCCGACTCCGTGACACTTGTCCTTTTTCCTGCTAAGAACTGTTAAAATTTTGAGAGCTGTTAAAAAGTTGAGAGGCAACAGGGATGGAATACCAGATGGGGGCCAAAGGCTGTGAGTTTACCCCTGCTGTCACGAAGCTACTCAGATTAGTTTCTAGGTAGTCCATGGAAACATTTACTGCAAAATGAGTCACAAAAACGCAGAAACACAATTTGGGGAAAGGGACAAAGGTGGGGTGTGGGTGAAGCAAGACTGACCACAAGTCAGTCGTGGTGAAGATTGGCTATTGATTTTTTTTTTTTTGTATGTTTG